ACACCATTGTATATTGGCTGCAGTAATCCATCTGCACCTCTGTCTTCCTGTTTGTTTGACAGAGGGAGGAACAGGTCCTGGATCTGCAGTCCATAGGCAGCTTCAACTAATGCCAAAATTGGCTCACTCTCAGATACAAGGAGCCCAGACTGCTCCACAACCAAAAAGGATCTTCCTTGTGGTGCTGGTGGGGTAGTAGAGGAGAACTCCAGCCATTATGAAGCTGTACTAGGACTGGGTGAATACAGAGGTCTTGGTTTGTGCCATATGCAGTGGTGTACTGGTATTTCTCAGAGCAAAGTGCAATGCCTCGCTTAGGAAGTGTAGGAAATCCTCACAATATAAAATGGGAATAGATTATACTGGTTTTAATTGGACTGCAGTTCTAAACTGTTCCCATGAGTGATATAATCTAGAAGAGGAGAAAGCAATATCAATTGTGGGGACCTTACTCACGATGGTTGAGCTTCACTGTGATCAGCAGTAAAGGTGAGAAGCTCATGTAACATGTCAGTCAAGCCTTAGGAGTGGGGCCCACTCTGCAGGAGTTTGGGGGTAACTCATGAGACCGTGCTGCCAAGAATGGGCGAGCATCCCGCTTGCAGGGAGCATCCACTCCCCTGCTTACCTTCTACAGCCACTTTGCAGCTCCTGCTTTTAGTCTGTGTCAGGGTGTTGTCCACCATATTTTGTGTGTTAATTTATGTTACTTATGTTTGTAGTTTATGTGTCTGTGTTTATTTTGTGTTAACTAAGTTATTTTCCTGTATTGTTTATGGTTTTAATTCTGTTTCTTATTTAACTTCATTAATATATGTTATGTTTATCTTATGTTTGCAATGAATATTTTAATGGAAAAATCCAATAAAAGAATATTTTTAAAATGGCATAAAGTTTCCCCAAGATCTGCAGTCTAATATAACATTGAAAACCAAACAGTGCTGGTAGGAATAGGGCCATGGCAATCTCTTTTTTCAGAAATAAAATGTGGTTGCAGGACATTGTCTGCCCATTGCTAGATTTCTTGTAGTATGTTAGCTAAAAGGTAGGAAAACTGAGCAGTTCTGTCACTATGGGAAAAAACTCAGATTGAAGCTGATGGAATTAGGATTTGCTCATCTCCACTGAAGATGCAGACTAGCCCCAGTTCTCTGCTGAAGGTCTTACAGAGGGATGGGGCAACAGTGCTCCCCAGGAGATGGCTTCCCCTTCAGGAAGGTGATGCTGCTGGCTGGAGTAGATTGGGCAGCAGACTGGAAAAAGGAGAGCCCTGAGTGCAAAACAGGGGTATAAAGCAAGAAGCGGAGCCATCTATAGCAGACAAAGTCCCAAGATGTTGGGTGGAAAGCGTGGAGCTGAGCAGTCAGCATGAAAGCACTTTGGTCAGTATTGGCATGGCTAACAGGAGCCTGTTCTGCTGTACCGTGCCTACTCTCACCCACTGCTGCGGCCACAAAGCTCTTTATGAGATAAATCCTGCCTGGGAGTTCAGGTAAGTTTTTGATGACATGCATGGGAGTGCTGGCTTATGCATGCTGGTGGGGGTGAATGTCTGCATGCTAGGTATAGGAACTGTGCTGTGCTGGGCAGAGCATGTTGTGCGAAGCCATAGGCACTGGAAAAAACTAAACCTTCCATTTAAAATTATTTTTAAAAGACAGTTCCCAGCCTTTGCCTTCTCTCCAAACTCTGCAAAGTGCTAGTTTTGGTAGATAAAAGTGAAGAGCACAATGGAGACTCTAGTGGCTCATACAAGAGGTTTGAAAGGAGTGTAGTCTCCTTTTGGTGTCAAATCCCGGACACTTTTTTTTCCTCTTACTTGGCTTCTTGCCTGTGTTAAATTGCTGAATTTTGCTTCATTAAAATAATTGCTGATTGCATTTTACACTTTAGTTTAGTAGCTGCTCAGCACAGGCTCAGCCATTAAAGATGCTAACTATCTCCTGTGACCTACAGGTTAATCTTTATTTCACTGAGCCTCAGTGAGTCCTGATGGTTCACAAATGCTGAGGTGCAGTCCTCTGCCTGACATGTATCCAAGCAGTAGGATGGGCCACATACTTGGACTCAGATTCCAAGGGACAATTTCATTAGGTTTATTAAGAATTACCTGATGTTTTCTTTAGATTATTCCAGTTCAGATTTTATACTGCCTTTAAAAACTGAGGCTCCTGTCATGCTGGTGTTCAGGAGCAAAAAAATATCACTGATTCAGCTGCATAGAGAAAACTGGAAATTACCTTGCCTGTAAGCTGTGTAACAAGCTCAGCTGCTTGCAGGACATGAGAGAAAAGAAAGCCTTCCTGCATCTAAGACGACACACAACATATGCTGTACAATATATGCCCTCCTTCTTGTGCTATGCTGTTTGAGCGACAACAGCCTGGGCTTTTAATTGTCGTAACCCTAATTAGTAGTGGCAAATATTTTGGAACTGGAGGACTGGGGATTTCTTTACAAGCTTTAGACCCCATGTAAAAAGTTTACTCCTTATATCCACTCTAATCTTTCCTTAGGTTATTCAGCATATACATCCAACAGAGTAAAAGCACTGAAGTGTGCTGAGCTTGAGATCATTTACTTTCCAAATCCCCTGCCAGCACAGCTTAGATGAAAATTCTCCTGGAAACAAGGCAGTTGTTGACATTTTTTTTTCAGTGGGGAAAGAAGAGGTAGAAATATGGGGGCAGCCACTGGTTTCATGCTAAACTAAGACACATGGAAGGAAAAAGTAATTTATTTTAGTTGAACCTTTTTAAAGAAACCAGGGGTTCTTTGTGCCATACTTTCATATAGTAATAATCTGAAACATTCTTGTTCTGTCAGAGATGTCCCCAAGGGAATTCCATCCTGGATCTGAACTTTTTTTGCCTGTATTTCACCTAACTATAAGCTATTTTAGACATCTCTAGCTTCTCAGAGTAGCCTTTCACCTGACTGACTCAGGCACTGACACCATGCCAGCCTCAGGGAAGGGTTGTGCGATCACAGACAATACAGGGGTGTGTCTCACCTCTGCCATTTTGAGGTGAACACCAGCCACCTTCTCCGGGTTACCTGGATGCCTCTTTTCTGGACACTAAGCAATGACACTAAGGCATGCTGTTGCCATCCTGGACTCTTTGGCTGTGGACACCCTCCTTGCAAGTGGGGGCAGGTAGGTTTGGAGATACTGGGGAGAGTGCTGGCTGCCTGGGGAGAGACCCATTGCCCCATCCCAAAGGAGCCATTGTGTGTGCTACACTTTGGCTTTCCTCAGATAGCACAAACCTTTTGTGTCTCTTGATGGGCTTTGTGCCTTAGAAGCCCTGGGAGGCTAAACCTGAAACAGAGATGCCATGGACTAGCCCCTCAACTGGTGTAAATCAGTTCTATGAAAGCAACTGAGTCGTTGATTTATATCAGCAGGTCGATCACGGATCCTATCCAGCTTTTCTACCTGTAACAAAATGTTTTGCTTCTTTCTTGTTCATTTTAGTAACAGGAAACCGGTACTAGTTTTCCTAATGAAATGCTGTTTTTTTCTGATCCTCTTCATTTTTATTTTAATGAGGATGTCTAAGGAAATCCCAAACCAGACACCTGCATCCCACCTGCCTCCAGCCCACAGATACTCATATTGCTCAGACCCATGCTGTGAGGCTGACACTTGGCCCTGCCTTTGGTTGAAAGAAAATCCTCTATATCAGTATGCCTATAGTTGTGTGCTGAACATTACACTTACAGTCCCAATGCTTTTGTAGTCAAAAATGTCACAGCATTAATCCATCTATGCAATTTCAGGGACCCTTTTGCCATCTGTCTTAGCACAGAGGTGAACACAACAGCCAAGCAGACAACATTGCTGCCTGCTTCTTGCTGTCTAAAAACAGAGCTTCTTGCACCCATCTGTTTGCGTGTCCCTGCGCACAAGGCTGTTCCCTGAAACAGTTATCCCCCCAGACAGACGGGCTTTGCAATGGGGATTCATCCCAGCCTGCAGGCGGGAAGTTTGCTGCAGTTCCCAGGGTAACGCCTTTCCCATGAGATGGGGAGCTGCAGATGGAGGCCACTGTCTTTCCCTGCAACGGGAAGCAGTTTCCACTGGGAAACCCATGAGCAAGATTTTGCTCTGCGCAAACTGCAGGCATTTGCTTTGTTTCCAACCCACCACCTTCTCCAGGACAGTCTTTCTGTCAGCTGTCCCCTGTCCTCAGCCTGGCCCACCACCAGCATTTCCCCCTTCCTGCTTTGAAAACATGCATGTTGAAACGGGGGCTGGATGTGGAACAGTGTTTGCTCCTCAGCCCCACCGGACCCTGACGCAGGGAGCTGGCATAGCCCCAAGCCACCTGCCTGTGAGAAGATAACAAGAGGAGCTGCCTGTCACAGATTAGTTAAGAGTCTGACTGAATAGTCATTATATAAACCTGAGGCTTATTTGTTTATTTTTTCCTAAGGAAGTATCCAAATATTGGTGGAAACTAACTTTTTTTTTCTAAACTCAGCCATGTTATTCTTCCAGGAATTAGCACACACATCTTTACCTTCTTCTTCCTACAAATGGGATTTAGGAACTGATAATTCACACTCTGTCTGGTATACCAGACACTCTCTGTCTGGTAATTCCTTAACAGCAGCAAAATGACAGCCACGGTTGTAGCCCCCCCAGGCACTGCCACGTTGCCCTGCAGAAGACTTGGCCACCTCCTAGGATAGCACCGGGCCAAGCTTCACAAAAGTGCATTTAAAAATAAGAATAATCAAGAATTTGATTTATAGTGAAAAAAAAAAAGGCATGCATATCTTAAATGGCAGTGGTTCTGCAGTGTCTGCATAGCTCTGACCATTCCTATGCCAAGCCCTGTGTGTGAGGCATAGACTGCGGGTCTCTCGTCCCAAGCAGGACAGTCAGAATGATAACAGTGTTTCCAGCAGCTGATTGCTGATGTACAGAAAGCAGACAGATTAGGCCACGTGTGTTCGTGCATCTGAGTAAATTATTTGGTGAAAGTCACACATCTGAGTAATGAAATGAGGCTTCTGTAGGGAACTGATACATCCTCCTGGAACAGCCCTAAAGGGAAAGAGATTAGAAATCAAAGGGAGGTGGGAAGTGTTTCTTTTTTCTTAGAGTGTTAACTTGTTAAAAAAGACTTATTTCAAATGACCTGCTAATTTTTGCATTTCAAATTTTGTCGACATTTTGCACATACTCATTTTCACTGTATAATCTGTTTCTCTTGCTCTTTTTGTGTCTCTTTCTTTGAAACAGCAATTAGTAAGACTTCCTATTGCAAAGGAAATCTTGGCTAAATATAGTAATGAAGAGGAGGTTGTTTAAGAGCTCCTAGGTATTCTACAGCTCTCTGGTATTCCACAGCTCTCTGGTATTCCCTGAATGTTTATTTCAAGCGAGACTTTTTTCCTTTAAGAAAAACATCATTTTTCAAGAGGAAAGCTCACCAAAGAAACACAGCAACTGGTGCAATATCTGAGACAATTTTTCACTGTTACATCAGTAATTGCAAAGCCATCAGTATCCCTATGGGGATATACCCTTCCTGCTGTCTGCAAATTGAGAAGACTGGCTATAGGTCCTCCTTTGCTCCTAAAAGCAGGCACTATATGGCTTAAGCCAGTGAAGGGGTTCAGATGTGCAGGTGACCTTCTCCCTGGTCCTTGGTCCCACCAGTCAGTGGGAAAGCTCAAGAGGATGCCAGCAGGGCATCAGCAAGGCTGCCATGGCCATGGTCCTGCCTTGGCAGCTTGGAGGATACCACAGGGAGGGCAGGGAGGCCAGGCAGGAGTGAACAGGCACCAACCCAGGAGAAAAGAGACCAAGGAATGGGCAAAGATGAATGGCAGCAGGGCAGGAACATGCTAAGCTGTTTCTGAAATTACTTTTTTCCTAGATCTGTTTCTGATGGACACTGTGCAGGTGGTACTGATTCACAGGCTGTGGGAAGTTCATCCCAGCTTTCACCACAGCCTTAGTTGTGCATCACTCCCCAAGCTGGGGTAGTGCTCTGCACCAGCAGGACAGCACTGGGCAGGACAAGCAGCAGCAAGCGTAGCACAGGGCTTTGCTTTCACCAGTTCCCATGTAACTGGAGAAAAGAAATATCTTCACTAGACAGTGTCTCAGGGCACAGCCTTGTGAGCTTGATAGCAATAGCCACTGGACATCACTAGGCACAACCCCTCCTTGCCAAACCACCTGCCTGAGGCAAAACAACAGGCACATGAAATGCTGGGGGCAGGCTCACCCCACAGCGATTGCCTCCCTGTCAGCAGGGCCTTGTGCCCTGCTCTGAGGGAAGGCCCCTGCTCCTCACTCTTGGACAAACCATCCTACAGCATCACTCACACCTCTGGATCTCTTCTGTCTTTTTGTCCCTCCCTCTAGGGAAAGTCTCTGGCGAGCAAGCGCCTCACGGGCCTGATGCAGTCCTCCTGACATCTTCTTCAGCCAACCGCCCCGTGGGAGAGACATCTGGGACCGCTGCTGGGGACGGGGCATTTCAGGGAGAGCAGTCCCCTGCAGGGGAGAGAGCCTGAGTGACTGGAAGTGGAGAACCACATGCCAGGGGAGCACCTCTCTTCATAGTTTACACCTACACTTTCCTGCCTGCACAGCTCCGTAAGGACCCCGAGCTCTGTCCAGGTACTTTGTTTCCAACCGAGGTTTGGAGGAGCACACTTCACTATACACAGGAGGTCGACAAGGCAAGGGCTTGTTGTCTCATTATTTAAGGAAACAGACCCAACCACAACTAGGAGAAAGAAGAGCTGAGAGATATCAGTATTTTTATGCATCTCCTCTCTCCCTGGCACAAACATGACTGTAATAGATGGCTCCACAATCTCACTTGCTCCCTTTCTTGTGGCCGTCTGGATCCAATAAAATATCTGCTGGAAGCCGCTTCTCCTGCTTACAAAATCTCAGATGCATTTCTCCTGCAGATCCATTGACTTTAACTTTGTTTTTCTTTCCTATGTTTCTCCTCCTGTAAAGCAATGAAAAAAAAAAGGCATTATTTAAGTTCATCACTCATTTCTATCCAATAGCATGTAGCATGTCCAGAGATGATGGTCAGATCCTCAGCTGAAGTCAGGAGAGCAGGAGTGGTTTTCATCACCTAAGGATCTGGTCCATTAAGTCAGACTTTGATACTGGTACAAATCCTCTGATGTCAGCAGAATCACTCTGCATGTGTGCATAGTGCAAATGTGATCAGACTCTGCCTGATGCTCAAAAGTCATGTTTTAGATGTGCAATGCACACACAAGTACACACACACATACACACACGCAGGATATTTTAAAGTGAGTTGGTTTATATTTTATTTAATTTTCTATTTATTTAAGGTTATGCATACTTAATCAATGATAGATGTTCAAGCTTTACTCCAAGCAGATCAAACTGGACTCCAGCTCCAATCACAGAGGGCCAAAATCTGCTCACAAGTATACATGGAAAGGCAACTCTGATGTGGGCAGATCTCAAAATTCAGTCTACAGTGAGGAGGGAATTGATGGAGATTGGACCAGCAGAAGGAGGGTGTTAATGGGCAGGGCACTGGGTGCCAGGTGACCCTTCCTAAACAGCAGCACACCCAGCTGTGATATCATGCTCAGATAACTGACCCTGCTGAGAAGCATCATTCTGAATATGAAAAGAGCTTCCACTAAAACTCATCTGACCTACAACCCATCAGTGCAACAGCAAACCCAGTAGCTTTTTTCAAATTGTTGGGAGTATAGAGGTTAGGATGAGGACAGAACTGAAGTGACTTAATAAAAAACCCACTTATACTAGCTACAGATAGGAAAATGGCCTGCATTCACATATTGTTTATTGTCTATATATGAAAATTTCAAGACTTAGTGCCACAAAATCTGTTCAGATGTAAAGCATATGTGAAACAAGACGTTTCTTGGTCTTCTTCTCTCATGCCAAGGCAAATTGGCTTTTTGTACAGGTGGTAGAAATTGCTACATGGCTACAAGTCTGCATTCCTACCTAGGCAAACCCATCTAGCTAAGTAGACAGCTGGCTATTGACAACATTCTTCTGAGGCAAGTATTATTCTAATATCTAAGGCCTATGTATGCACAAAAACATACCAGCATAGTTTCTCTCAGAAGAAGGACCTTCCCTCTTTATCTATGAAAGTTCTCATTCTGATACCTCTTTTTTTTCCCCCAGAAAACTTCTATTATCAATTATACCTAAGATCCATACACCTGCATGAATGTACAGTAGAATATTGAGTATGATGTTTGTTCTTTACACATGCCTATACCTTAAAAGCCTGCTATCTGAGGCCTTCAGTCCAAATTCATCCTACACATCCTACATACATGACATGTGAGTTCCAGGACTTCAGAACCGCTGTGGATGTGCCTGGACATTCTTGTGGTGCTCTGCCTCTGAAGGAGATATTTGGTTCCCTCCAAATTGTCACTTAGCTCTCTTTGTGGGACCCATTTGTCCTCTGTTGTTCACCCAGCCAAAGGGTCCCCTCAGGAAATAGCAGGTCCTCATGTAAAAGGCTCACTTGTCCATTCATGCATATTCATACATGTCCCCTTAGTCATCCTTAGGAAAATGCAGAGGTTAGCTCTCCTCAGAGCCTTTCAGATGGTGTTTTCATCTCTGTCAAGCCTGCCATTACCATGCATCACTGGGGCTCTGTAAACCAACAGCTGCTCGAACTCCGCTTCCAGTGTTGCTCAACCTCTGGGCATTTCCCATGGGAGGTCTTTCTTGTGAACCTTCAAAGTGGTCTGCAGAGCATTCCTGAGCAAGATGTACATAGCAAGCATGAAACTCTGGTGTGTAGCAAGGGATAGTAAAGTGTTACCAGGGGATCTCTGCTATGCTGATAGAGTTCTTGACACTGGAGAGGTCATCTCCTGGGGGAAGGATGGGGTAGCTCTGTGGAGGTACTCCTCAGTTTCCTGCAGCTTTGGGGCACATGTGGGCAGGACTGGAGGATGCAGGCAGGTGATGGGACATGTGGAAATTGAGTTATGGTCCATGTGCAGGGAGCAGAAGTGCCAGAATTTAACTTGGAGATGTGCTGCTGCCCTGTGAGCAAAGCGCCCTGCTCTGTCTCTTGGCTTCATTCCTGCAGGATGGTCATGTTGGCTGCCATAGTATTTTGCCTATGGGGAATATTCTGTATTTGAACAGTTGAGTGCAAGGAGGGAATTCTTAGAGATGCGGAGAGCATGCATATGGGTGTGCATCAGGGGGCCTGGATGCTGAACAGCTTGCCATCTAAATGCACACTCGTGCAAGCTAATCTGCTCAGTAATGGCTAGCTGAGCGGACAGAGCTGCATATTCCCTAGAGGGAAGAAAGCTCTGCTCCTCATTTCCTGACTAAATTTCTCCAAAACAAACATGCAAGTAGACAAGACCTTCTCCTGGGAACACATATGAACTGTTCTTTTACGTCACATATGGTGATACTAACATGTAACTACTTCCACATGAACCGCATCCTTTAATTACTGCTTTTTAATGACATTGCTTATTCCAAGTGATCCTAGTCTTGTACATCCAACAGTATCCCACTGAGCATTGCAAGCAGTAATCTGCTGCTTAGTAAGTGTCCCATGTCTTCCAGCTACCTCATCGGGTTGAAGATGAGTTAGGAAATCAGCTTTCCACCTCTGTTTATGTTCTAAATGGCACTGCTTCAAGGAAAGACAGTCTGGAAAGCTTTTACAACGTCCATGCAGTGCAAGAGAGTTACAAAGCTTCCCATACTTACAGGACTATGGCTGTGAAATATGGCTGTACACTGTTATTTGGATAATAGAGTATCCAGAGTATTTGTGGCTATTGTGGCAAAACCCAGGACAAGCACTAGGGAGGTTTGACAAGCCTGTGCAGACAGCGTTAGGCTAAAGCAAATGGATTAATGTACTCTCAGTATAACTCAGCACTAAGATTCCATAGAGTACTATAATAAAATGGTAGCAGGGCAGCCATAAAAAGTGACAGTAAGCTGACATAATAATACCAGAATAAATGTAGCAATAAGGTAACACAGGCCGCTGCAGTAAAGTAGCATTTTGATAATGCAGCAATAAGACACAACAGGATGCTGCAGTAAATTAGTTTGGGGAATAAGGCAGTAATAACAGTGTGTGTGGACAAACAGTGGTACATTTTACCAGGTACTGCAGCAATAAAGATAACACATGATGTCCTAGTAATAAGTTACTACAGTAACAACAACATGATGGACTGTAAAGTTATATCAGGATGCTTCCATGCTGCAGTCAAATCCTGCAAGAGGTGGTAGAGAGACAATGAAGACAAAATATACCCCATTTTGGACTGCAAAACTTGAATCAGTTTTCTGCACAATTATCTCAGCAATACCAATCCTCTCATTCCCCACTTTCAAGGAAGCTGAGGCAAGAGTGTTCCCCCATCCAGACTATTATTTTGATCTGAAAATACAAAATTGACTCATTGTCTCTTCAGCCAAATTGTCACAGACTATTTGTTTAGTCCTACTCACGTGAAACCCTGGTGGTTTTGGTAAGTCCTTTGCCTTGGAAAGGATTTGGCTCTCTAATCTTCTGGCATGGGTGATGCTTTTAGCCTAAAATTATTTCTGTTTTGGGTGGGGGAAGGGGAACCCAGGGACAGAACATCTGACTGTACTAGTCTGTTTCCTGAAATGCACAAATAAATTGAGCATCCTGGAAAAGTCTAAGCAACAAGGACCAAATCTGTTCTGTCTGTCCTGCACTCAAGCACACAAGAATAATCCTCCTGGAATCAGTGCAAGCTCCTGATACATCCATGGGTCTAACCCTGTTCTCAGTGCCTCCACCAGAATGACAGAAGCAGTGTGTCCTCTGAAGTTTTATTTTTATAATATTCTCTCCTTTCCTGCTTTTCCATTTTTTTTTTAATTTAACCTCACTTTGTGTATGAAATGGCCTTAGAAAAAATTAGTTTGCTCTAACACAATATGCAGCATGGTGGGCAAGGAATAGGTCTGTCCATTTTCTGTCTTTGTACCCTTCAGTACAAAGGGGGTAAACCATTCTGTAAAATAACAACTCAATAATCATCAGGCATAAGGGTTTAGCCAAAGCACCTACATCAACAGCAAGACTTGAATTTCATATGTGTTCTAGATAACAAGATGATCTCCTGCAAAAAGGATGTAAATAGAGCACCACTGCAGACTCTTGACTAGCGGGAGCAGCTCACAGCTGACTGTGGCTCCTGCAGACAATCCCAACAGATACGAGTTTTCTCCCACATCTCTCTGACTTTGCACAACAACTTTGCTATCCCTTTATGGGGCTTCCTCTCTCTAGCTGACTGCTCAGTTCAAGTTTGGAGCAGTGCTCTGATACACCTTCGCTTGGCTCTTGCCTTAAACTCCTTGGCTTGCTTTTATTGTGGTTTAATGATTAAGCAGGATTATTTCAGTAGAGCTCACAGTAGGGTAAGATAGGCTAGGTTATCATGATTTTGACTTTTAAGCTGTGAGCAATTTTGCAGCTTCTCGGCACTGTTTATAACCTGAGCCAGAGAACAAGCGAGGTGGCTGCTTAGCAGAACAGTGAGCTGCTGAACAATACACTATCTTCATGCCCACACATACTTTAAAGTTACTGGTGAGGAGAAACGCTTTGTAGTGAGAAAAGTAATCTCACGGCAGGGGAGAGCCAGACCTGATCAACTTTTTCACATGATACAGATTTTGCTTTGCCAGCCCCTAGCATCTGCAAAGCTCATAGCTAAGAGCCAGCAACCTTCTAATCCTGCTGCTAAGCTTTGGAAAGAAGCTTTTCAAATGCTGCCTTTACACAGCAATGCTATTACTTGAAGCCTTTTAAATGTGAATTTATGGCTAGTGCCACAAGTGTCAGTGTAGTTGCCCTCTATGTTTGCAATAATAAACTCTGGATTCACCCCACACAGAGGATGGATGTTAGTGGGAAGAATTTAGAGATTTACCAAT